CTGTGCGAAATGGTCGAGCACAAGCCGCTGCAATGTTTTGCTCCCCTGTTCTTTTGAGCTTTTGCGAATCACGTAAAAAAAAAAAAAAAAAAAAAAAAAAAAAAAAAAAAGGAAAAAAGATAGAACCACGGGGAGTCGTCCTTTTTGCGCAGGGAGGCCCAGCTGGGAGCCTTGGTTGCGGGAGGCCGGGCAGCCCAGCTATGGGTTGGTCTCGGGAACCTGGCAAGTGAGCCTCGTGTTACATCCCAAAAGGGTCAAAATGCAACTGACGCAACCAAATGAGGTTTAAAGGCTCTTCAAGTTTTGGAAAGGGTGGGAAAGGGTGGGAAAGGGGAGTATGTTTGCGTGAAATGAGACACGCTCTCGTGTAAGATGAAACTCGCTAGCTTTGAGACCCCCAATCCCTTTGATTTGAACACGTTCAAGCCCAAAACGTGTCTTTCTGAAAACTGGGGCCTTGTGCACTTGTCGCCTTTCGCATTTCGTCATTGAAAGAGCAGGGGTTTCTCGCAATGCGTTCAATTGCTTCCAGCACCTTTCATTTTGGTTTCGGGGGTCAGTTATGTAAACTCAGGGCCCAGCTTCCGGTTCCCTCAAATGCCTTGCGACTTGAGGTCACGGGCCAAGTGGCGCGGCGCTTGCGGCTGCCACAGGCCCGACTGGAGGTTTCTGGCGAGACGAAAGGTGCTATGCGATAAATTCGGGCAGTGCTGCTGGAAGCTGGTGGCGGTTTGGACACTTCACGCTGCGTCGAAGTTTCTCAGCCTTGTACGCACGGACGAGCACGAGCAAACCTTTCCTGGAGCGATGTTTGCCAGCTAGCTAGCTGCCGTCAAACTCAACACAAACAGCATGGGCCATCGACAGCCAGTGCTGCGCTTTGCCAGTTAATCAGCCAGCAAACCAAAACCAAGGCTTCATCAGGGATCACGAAAACCCGGTATAGTTGCGATGAAAACGTGTCTTTTGGTTTTCATGTGCACATGGATAATTTGTGGTTTTCCTTGCACGATGAGCTTCATGAAACACTGCCCAGACATTCAACAGCACAAAATGCCTCCGGCCACCTTGCCTCGCAAAAGCGGTCTCGAAGGGGGCCAGGGCTGAGTCCAGCGCGTTGTGAGTTGGCCTCTAAATAGTGGATTCCTTAGCCCACATAGCTTAACACTGGTGACAAAACCGGTGGTTTTCCATCGGTTTAAGCTAGTCAACTCCAACAAGGGCACACCCACATGCCAAATATGCGCCAGGGATCGGAGCAGCGAGTGGCCAGTGTGGCGGCGCTGCTTGGGCTGATCCCTGGGGTCGGTAACAAAGCAGCTTTGCTTTTTCTGCAAGTAAGTCCACCCTGCTGGGTCGTAAAAGGAATGACAGTTCAGTTCTTTTGTATTATAGTTGTTCATGTTTCTTAATGAGCAAAGAGAACAAGTAGGTTCACCTTAATTGCTGTCTTGTTCATGCATGCGCTCGGTTCCCCTACAGCAGGAAATGCAAACAGTGCTTTCAGTTTGCAGTGTACCAAGAGAGCAGGGGTAAACTTACCCGTTTGCTTCAAGGGCTGCATGGTGCAGGACAGGCATGCAAGGTGCAGAATGCGCTTGGTTCAACGAAACGTGCAATTGCCTACGGGGGGTGCACCCGGCATTTGTGGCCATGTGCAAGACCCGAAACGCTTGCAACGGGGACGTGCCCTCACTTTCTGATAGCTTTGGGACAAGCTATCCAAGGCCTTTGTGCCAAGCCATCGAGGTGTCAGGAGCTGAGTCAAGGAATCGGCTGCCGGTTCCATGCGTTTGGAACACCCAAAGGGGAAGCAGTCCATGGTGAAGCGCCTCGTGTGAGCTTCCCACCACAAGTGGTTGCTTTGATTGGGATGCATGATTGAGACTCTAACCAAAATCAAGTTGACTGGAAGCATGGAGGTGCTGCTGCCAGCCCCAATCAGAGTCTTAATTACTTACGTACATGTAGCTGCTTTGGAACTATTCGTCCAGCAGGACTATTCAACACCACGCTGCGCCCGCAAACCTTGGAAGAATGGCATTCTTCGGTGCATTCCATAGTTGAATCAGTTGGGCTGGACATGCGCTGACAGCCTGGTGAAGAAACAGTTGTGCTTGAGTCCAAGGCATCACCATGTTTTGCTTAAACAAAAAAAACTCACCTTGAGGCTTAAGGCAATCAGGCGGCATGTGCCTTGAATGCGACCTTGCGTGGCGGGCATCCTTTGCGTCAACACCAATGGCTCAGTTCAGATTGACTTCTTTAAGTTTGGCAGATCTGCTCAGCACTTGCTCCATCAGTGAAACAGGCGTCGTCCTCAGCATGTCTTCCAACACGGGTCCGGCGATCGTAGATGGATAGAACAGTTGGGTAGAGCTTTGCTTGGCCGCTGGGTTTCGCTTAATTAACAAGGCGAGCAGGCACCACGTCAGCAGAGAGGGGGACAGTTTTACCGAAGTCGTTTCTGCCTAGGCCGCTTCGGAACTTCACCCAGCGCTTGCTAAGGCACGGGTCCATGAGGGCCATGACGCGTTCAGTGTGCGAACTCAATGGGTTCGGTTCAGCTTTTGGCTTCCCCTTTGCGGAACTTGCGGATCTTGCCCAGCTAACAGCTTCCTTTTTCATTCGGAACACATGTTGCCTTTTCCTGTGCCCGAAAACCCGCAAACATTTGCAGTCTAAACAGCTCACTCAGAGCTTCGGAGTGTTTGCTCGTGGGCCAGGCGAGATCGCTGGCTGTTTGTCTTTTATGCCATGGCCACAGCGGGCGACGAAGTGACACACGCGCCACATGGAACTCGTTTCTGGACATCCAGCCTGGTATGCGTGTGGCAGGGTCAGAAACCTCGGTTCTTGGGCTTGGCAGCTTGGCATGGTTGCCATGGCCATTGTTTGAATCAGAAAGTTCGCCGAGCCCTGAGGGCCCGTGGCCATACCTTCTGGCTTTGACCCTGGCTCCCTCAAGGGCTTTGGCATCTCCCAAATCAAAAGCAGAGAACAAGGTGGTGCGTCTCGTTTGAATGTACCTATTTGTTGGTGGTGTTCAAGAGAAACCAGGGAAAGCCTTGAGAGAGGCTGCCTGAGGCGCATTTGATAGTGCTCTACGCTATTTGCGCCTCGTGCGTGGCAAGGAGCTCCAATCCCGCCCACGCCTCAAGGGATCACAACACGAGTCATGAGGCCAGTGAGGCAGCTGGGTTTGTTGTGTGCTGTGCAGCAAGCAGGGGTGGAGCGAGGATCCGTTTGTGGAAGAAATCTTGCATGGCAGTACAATGTTTATTGCAGTTTTTTTTTTTTTTTTTTTTTTTTTTCCCCGGTGCAAGTGAATGCGTTACAAAAAGGTCTGTGGTACTATGGTTTGTGGTCGAACATACACAATGTGAGCGTGCTTTCCATACAAGCAGTGTACAGCACAAGCAGTTCTGCTCAAGGTGGCTCATGTTGATGCCACCGATTTGAACATGCCAGCGTTGTGACATGGTTTGTTGCGCATTGTCCCAAAGGAACATGCAGCTTGAGACTGCGTCAAGTCTGCGATTTGGCTGCTCCTCCACGTGGGGTTGTTCCTTCTTTGTCACCAAGAGAGCCATGAGCAATCCAGAACACAGCTCTGGTCGCCAATGACCTATCTCGTTCGTCAGTTTAAACCATTTTGTCGTTACATCTGACCGGGACACTGAGAGAACGTGTATTGATAGGTATGTCTCAGTGTGAGACCTTGCACATTCCCTCCTAAATATGAACAGAAATTATTCTAACCATTCAAGTATAATACTCCTAACCGAGACCTTGGGTGCGGCATCATCGACTCACACAGCCCAATCTTTTGAGTCATATTTTCCAATGGGTGATTGTTTTCCGCTCGAAAGGCACAGCATCCTGTCCCAGAGTAGAAACTCGACGAGATCTCATGTGCTTCGCAAGGTCAGCCCGGCGGAGTGCGTCGACACACGCTTGAAGCAGCTCCAAGCAGGGCTCACAGTGTGAAGTGCAAGTGCTGGTGGTGCGGGTGGCTTGTCTGCCAGTGGGTCATGGTCTTGGAACATGACGCATCATCTTGTCGCGTTTGCCAGATAAGATCCGGATGCCTTCTTGTGTGGAGCATGTCAAATGTGAAGGTGATATCAGCAAATAAAGGCGTATGAGTTGATGACGCCTTTTGATAGGAGTTTAATCCAGTCAGGAGCATAGTTGAGCCATACCCCTTGAGGTTGAATCTACTCGCGTCTGCGGACAAATGCAAAACGTTTGATCACAATCTCCAGCCACATTCCAGTGCGTACCCCGGAATGCACAAGCGAGACATTCACATGCAGAAGCGTTTAGTTGATACACTGCGCTCCAGGCCATGCCAAACGATCCATACAGTTGTCCCCTGCTCAATCGCAAACTCTAGGTCATATCAAGCCATATTAAAACCTAGATGGCTCAGCGTGTATGAGACCCTGACATCAGGATGAGGGTCATATCGAGCCCTCTAGGTTTAAGCTATGGCCAACGCTGCCTAACGTTGCCCGAGCACGACGGCTCATAGCACCCTTCCTTTTGCCGCTTCGCGGCCCCTTGAGACGTTGACCGCGGTGCAAATTGAACTTGGGACTGTTATCCAAAACAGTTGTCGAACAACTCATGTACATTAGCTAGCAGTTCAACCCTTGACTTTCGAGTTGGCAGTGAGAACCGTGTTTTGCCAGTGATACAATTTCGGAGAAACCTCAAACTGGTTCCCTTGCCCACCATGCTTACTTGCTGGACACGGGGCTCAATGGAATTCGAAAGGTTGTCCATTTACTTGAATTCCAATCACAAGACCATTCTCTTCTCGGAGTTGATGACTATCCGCAGCCTCTCAGCTTGCCAACGCAAACAGCGGTTTGCTGCTGGAGGAGGCAGGGTTGCTTTCACGTCTTTGCCCGCACGCGGGTCCGACGGTCCGACTCGACTTTGAGCATGGAGATCAGATCACAAATCGCTTGCCACGCACCGGAAGAGCAAAGAAAACATTGGCATTCAGCGTGTTCGCTCCCAGAGTGCCATGGTCGCATTTCAAGACCTCTTGGCGCAAGTGTCTGCAGCGCATGCCGCAGCCTCAGACCGCTTTTGTGGACGGCCTTGGCTTGGAAGAGCTTGCAAGACAGACGTGCCGTGGTGCCGGTTGCTTCCGTCTTTCACACATTCACATGGTCTCTCTTGAAGCGTTTCAAGGGCACTGCCGCGGGCAACTCATTGACTGCACTTCTTCCTCAACAATCATAAGAGTGGTAACTGTGCAGCTAGATACGATGTTGCAAATGACAGAAGAAACACTACCCCTTCATGAGAAGCAGCAACATGATTGCAAGTTATGTGTCCTTATGAAGTGGTCTTTCACATAAAACGATGATTCCTCGTTGCATCCCTCGGAAGATGGCTGAGTTGGCTCAAGTGTTCAAAGTATTGTGAAGTCAAAGGCACATCCTGCATTCGGGATAGCTGCGCCATTGTTCGGCGCATTTTTGTTTCCGCCTTTGCATCGCACCATCCTGGAGATTTATTCTCCATGAATTTCCTGGTAGTTCTCGTCTTTAACTTGCTTTTCCTGAATCTCGATGTGTTTTTCGTGAAGTCGCCAAAAGCCACTAAAACTAATATGTTGATGAGATTTCAGAATTGGCGCCTTTTACAATTTCCCCGCCCGGAATCACCCGCAAAACGCCCGCAAAAAGCCCGCAAACGCCTGCAAAACCCCGCAAACGCCCGCAAATCGGAAAGAACACGTTTTTCGGTTTGCGGGGTAGGCCCAAACGCCTAGAAGTCACTTAGAACGCCCAATACGCCCAAAACTACCAGGAAGCAAAAACGCCAAGGAAAAGGCCGGAGAATGAATCTCCAGGATGGGGCGAGTCACCTGTCAAAGGAAGTCCTGAGCGAATCACCCAGAATGGGTCTTCCTTCCAGATTCAGTCCGAGAGATTGGTGCCATGCTGGCACACCGTAGGCGAACATGTAGATGTGAGCCCGAGACAAATCGGCTCGCCAAGGAGGCAGATGTGGCAGAGCTGCGGGAGCAAGTGGCGCAGCTGCAGCACAGGCGTCTCAATTGGATGGTGCCGTAAGGCTTTGGTTATGGGCTGACAGGAGTGTGAGTTTGGTGTTTGCTCCGACTCCAGCCGTCCGAAGAGATGTTAACCACCCAACTCGCTCTTTATCAGAGATGTGCGCGGCGAAACTGATGAGCTGAAACAACCGGTTGGCATTCAAATGCGATTTCCTGGATAATTCCAGGTTGCCAACTAGTCTCAATGAGCTGCCTTGTCATATTCTGGCTCCCGTGGTGCTGTATGCAGCTTAGCATTGAGGGTTGGTATAATCAATAGTGCGGGGATTTTTGCAAAAGTCACCAGGCGGTTTAGCCAAACACCTAGATGAAGGCCGATGGATGGCTCCTCAAGCGTTGACATGATGATTCCCGGCCAGCCTCCGGTAAATCTCCAGCCGTTGGGACGACTGCTCGAATCTCAAGCACTTCACAGGTTTTGCAACTGAGCCTTCCTTGGAAGTTTGCATCGATGCATATTGCACTGGAGATCAAAGCAGCATCCACCGAAGCAACTTTCGCAGTGCTCTCTCAGAGCCTCGACCAAGGCCCAGTGACAACAGGGAGCCGACAGGCGCTGCACGGTTCAGTAGCCGGATTCCCTGCAGGCACGATGGGTGCTGCGCCGGAAACAGCGCGGCGGCTTCCGACGGCGACAGAGCCGGGCACCTGACGGAAATGGGTCAGACAAAGTCCTGGGTGAAGATGGCAGATACCATGCTCTGATTTTGTTTGAATCCTGCAAATGGATGATTTGTTTTAGGTCGCCCAAGGTTTTGGCATCAATCTCCACATGACATGCCCGGGCACGAGACCTGAAAGATGGCAGATTCACAGAGCTTTGAAACACATGAATCGAGTTGCTTTGCGATCATTCCCGTTCTGCAGGTAGAATCTTGCCAATGCAGTGACTATGAGCTCGACGAGGAAGCGCAGCATCCATCCCCACTGTGTGTACCGGAAGCGCGGCCTGGCAGTCTAAGTGGGAGTGTTCAAAAAGCTGGTTCAGGCCCTTTCAGACGCCCACGACTCTGTGGGCATGGGTTCATGTGCAGAACGGAAGTTTCAAGCCGTGCTGAGGCTGGCACAGCGCATTTGAAAAGCTCGAACAGCTTTTTGCAAACTCTCCCAGAGTGGGTTGCCAGATCTAAGCTTAATATGTGCGCAAGAAAGGGTTCTGCCTTAGTATATCTTACTAATAGTAAGTCTGATCCCAATCAAGCCGCCTCAGAAGCCAAGGTTGCACCGTGCACCTTCTATACTTGTACCCGAGGAGACTTGGGCGGGAAGTGTGGCCTACAGGTCCTCGATTTTCTGCCTTTAGCGACAGGCTGCGCCGTTTCCGTTGGTTGAGATGTCCATGGATTTTCGGTTTTTCCCGACTGTGCAACGTCTTGCCTCTGAGCATCCCAGGTTATTCCTGGACTTGTGTCTACCCAGTCGGAACCAGTCGTTGCATTGTGGGGGGGCGGCAGTCTGATCTTGGTCATTGCCTTCGACAATTGCTTGATCGTCTCCTTTAGATGATCATGGGGCATGACCTATGGTTCAATTTTGGGGTGGATGAACATCCATTTGCCACCTATTTTGATGTTCACCAGGGGTACAGGGTTTTGACCCACAGCCAGATGACCAACTTGCTGAATGGCAGAACCTCTTCATAAAACTAGCCAGACTGCCATCAGCGGTAGGGTGCCTTCGGGGGGGCTCGTCCCACCTCCTCGACCATGGTGGAAGGATGGACAGTGGGAACAACAAGTGTTTCATGTCCAAGAGATTGAAGAAGAACATATCCGGAGAAGCTTCTCATGTTTCGTCAACTGTATGAAACCAGCATGTGGTTGTGCACTGCGAACGCACCTTGTTTGCTTGGCATGAACATTTTGGATCATCCGTGGGCAAACTGCAGGTCATTTCAAGGCTCTCATCCTCTTAAGAAAGCCAACCGTGTTTTTAGGCAAGCTTGCGAAGAAGCGTTTGTGTGCTGTCATCCACCTTCTGTGGTGTGGCCTCCGCTTGGATGTTCACACCCTCGATCATTTTGGGAACGCCAAGCATTCTTGCAGGCTTATAGTATAGGCACATATGCCCCATTTTTTCGGCTTCATTGTCATAGAATAGTCGGTCCTGGAAAGGGGGCAAAGATGGGCAAAGCCCCAAAAAAGCGAGAGTTCAACCACAGGAGTGGCACATGGAGCCGATCATCAAGGTCTTCGGGACAGAGGTGCCCTCTGGGCACGTCCAGAGAGTTGCGCCTATGATGGGCAGAAAGCGCCTCCAAAAGTTTACACTGGGCATAGATCTCCAGGTAGACGTCCTCCAAAGCTTCCCAAGGAAGATTCCTGCCTTGGCGAATCGGTGCGCTGATTGCAGCACTCGACATGAGCTTAGACTGACATGGCCTGTGGGGCGGAAGCCAACGTGCCCGGCATGCAATCACAAACGCACATCTCTTGGGCCTGGAAGCTACGCAGCGACCGAAATAGGTTTCTTGCGGATGTGCTCAGGTATACCTGCGCGTCTTTTTAGTCTCAGGTTGCGGAGATTTGGAGAGGTTATTCCTGACGTAAGGCAGCCTTTGCGTCACTGTATGCAATCATCTGCCAAGCAGGCCGCTGTGATTGCTCCATAAAAAAGGCCACTTCTGAAACGCCAAGCTCAACGAAGGAATGCCCAGCTGCCCATTGGTTTGCAGAGCCAATGCTTGCAGTATGTTTGCTGTCCTTGCCCTGTCCTTGGAAATCCACTAGAGAGCCAGGTCAGGAATCTTGGCCTGCGAATCCTGTGGAACAACGCCAGGCCGGGAGACATGCTCAGTTTGGCCGGGAGCATTTATCTCATTTGCGTGTGGTGGATACCCGCGAACAGTTCAAGCTTGTAGATTATGGATATTGAAGCAATCTTTGTTTTTCAGCTGTTCAGAGGCGAGTGATGTGATGCATGATAGGAAAGCTGGATGTTCATAGGAGAGTGAGGTGATGCATGATAAGAAAGCTGGCATGCATGCCCCCCCCCCCCCCGCAGTGTTTCTTTTCAGCGATTGGATTTGGCTTTTCCTAGTTGCCTCAATCATTAACAGGGCCAGCGTGACATCGAGTGGGGTTGCGGAGTGCAGGGCTTGCTTGGGCACTAGGGACTTGGCCTGGGTCGAAGCCAGTCGACGGTTTGGTTTGAAGTAGACAGCTGACATTCGGTGAGCTGGCAAGGTTGGTGACACTTGCTGGACACCATGTGGTGGCAATACATGCACCGTCAACTCGTCAACAGCTACGGAGTGAACACGGCCCGCGTTTGGAAGGAGTCGTAGCTGGCTCGTGGGGCCTGAAAGTGCTTCCTGTACTCAAGCAACCGGCATGTTTGGCCTAGTTTTTGCCCGCAGATTGGTTTGGCCAGCACCCTTTGTGAGAGTTCGTTGCAAGCTTCAGATTTCAATAATTGACCGCATGTTTGACTGGCAACCAAAAACACAAGCTGAAGCAGCTACAAGGGGCAAAGAGGCATGTTCACCAAACACACATTCGTTGCTCGCTCTGAGCTTGTTCATGCGCTGCACATGTGCGCAGATTATGCACCCCCAGGAACCTCCAAATAGGTTAATCAACGATTGATTCTCTCTTAATTACGGAAACCAGCGACTCTTTGAGGCTGTCATAGCCACGGGTTCATATGTTGAGCTTGGCTGATCTCTGCGTTCAGATCAACACCCATGTCCTTGCGGGTCTGAAGGTTGAATAGAACTTGCATAGGGTCAGGAGTCAAGCAGATCAGCATGTCACAGCCGCATGATGTCCTTTTGCAGTGCAATGACTATCTTCGGAGCAGTGAGCCAATCGACCAGATCGACCAATCGACTTGGCCGATTGAGGATGACAGCCTGCGATCGTTGTTGGTGAGCGTGTTTTCTGCTTATGGTCCCAGGCCGTGTGTTGGAGTGCCGCGAGCAAGTTGCATCCAATGGAAGTGGGTGACTTTTGCGGAAGTCTGGGGGCTGGCACTGCGATATGCAGCCTCTCTTCAGGACGGTATTGCTTCACGCTCAACACAACTTTGTGTGCCCTCATCGGACATATGGACAGACACACACAAAGACAGACAGAGACAGAGAGACGGAGACGACGAGAGAGAGAGAGAGAGAGGGAGGGAGCGAGAGAGAGAGAGAGAGAGAGAGAGAGAGACAGCCAGGCAGGCAGGCAGGCAGGGAGGCAGGCAGACAGACAGACAAACACAGAGAGAGAGAGAGAGAGAGAGGGAGAGACAGACGGACGGACGGACGGACAGACAGGCAGGCAGGCAGGCAGGCAGGCAGGCAAACAGAGACACTGAGAGACAGGCAGACAAAGAGCCAGAGAGACGGACAGACGGGCAGGCATGCAGGCAGGCAGGCAGGCAGGCAGGCAGACAGACAGACAGACAGACAGACAGACAAGAAGACGAGAGAGAAAAAAAAGAGAGACCGACACACACGCGAACACACAGTGATAGATACACAGCCACACAGCCACACACACACACACACGCAAAAAAAGCAAGCACCACACACGACTCCGCACAAGACATTACACAAGCACACACACAACAAAAACAAAGAGCACATAGACACAAACAAACACAAGCACCACAAACAAACACAAGCACCACAAAGACCGCAAGCACACAAACATGAACACAAGCACAAGTACTAACATAGGACAAACAGATACACACTTGATCCACTAGTATATGTCTCTCTGCAGGGTGATGCAGTTGAACAGATTGCTAAAAACACATAACTTTGCTCAGCCTCATGCAGAACACTAAACATGACCCTGCTTAGCAGAATGGGTTTGCAGTCGTTGTTGAAGTGCCAATCTGCGAGAGGATTCGCCTGACTTCGTGGTGACGTCATGGCAGAACTCTTTAGATCTCATTGCCCTGGACGTGGCCTGCGCTTTGCTGGGCCGATGCTCCGTCATCCTGCCTGGGGACGAGCACGTGCACAAGGTGGTGGAGATGCTGGGGTCGTGTCAGTGTCAGGTGGTGAGGCAGCCTGAGCCGGCACTTGAACCAATCGGATCATTCTCCTTTTGGGAGGGCGACGAGGAGCTCTTCTCGCTCTTCGCCACCTCCGGCTCGGTGGGCGTCCCCAAGTTGGTGCGCCGCACGCGCCGCGCCTGGCGCGACACGCTGCGGGACACCGCGGCCTTCGGCGCGGAGCTCTGCGTCACCCTGAGCTTCACCGCCCTGGCGCACTCAGCGCCCCGCACGGAGCTCTGGTGGAACTTGGCCTGCGGCGGACAGAGCCCCAGCTCCAACAGGGCTTCGAATGGCTTGGAAGAGAACGGCGCGGCAGGTCCTCCAAACAACGGCTTCACTGCATGTCATGAACTTACACTTTTGGGGTCTTAATGAATCTGTTGTCAAACTGATGGAGCAACTCATGTTTTTCTTTAACACGTTGAGTGACCAAGTGACTTGTCTTACTCTGAATAGTTTGCAGCAAAAACAATCCCACATACTCTGGCGGACAACCAGCTGAACGGGATATTGCTTATGTTGGCTGCCAGACATGTGGGTGCTTTGTCTGCATAAATGCATAAGGAGGCATGTCATAAAAGGGGCCAATAATTGCATGGTGCATCCAACCCATGGGACGGCACTGCCCAGGACAGCACTCGCAGATGTCAGATTCAGCATTTTGGAATCCTTGATAGAGTTGTCTCCTACAGAGATCAGTGCCCCGCCGGGTGTTTGGTCGGAGATGCGGCGGCAGATGATGCACAGGGGTGTGGTGGACAGCAGAAGCTTGCAGGGAACCATGGGCAAGCTGGTGAGGCGCTTACACTCGGTGTCAACAGGGTCAGCTGCATGTGAGCCTGGTCTCTTGGACTTTCTGAAAACTGTGTTTGGTGAGGTGATGGTTTTTAACAACTATGGAGCAACGGAAGTGGGATGCATCGCTGTCAACGGCCGACTTGACGAGGATTTGCAGGTGAAATTGCTGGAGGTGCCAGAACAAGGCATTGTTGCTCCTCGAGGGGAGATATGCATCAAGGCAGCCGGAGTGTTTGAGGGCTACTTTTCATCAGACCAGTCCCAGAGCGCGCTTACGGAACACGGGTACTACAGAACTGGTGATATCGGCGAAAAGCTGGAGAATGGGGAAATTCGGGTTGTTGGCCGCCTTGCGAATTTGGTTAAGCTGTCCAACGGCAAGTTTGAGTCTTTGGAAGATGTGGATCAGAAGATTTTGCAAGTTGAAGGCATTCAGCAAGTTTGCACGTTGGAGGTGTGTGGCTCCTTGGCCGCCGTGGTTTATGCTCCGGATCTGGATCCTTTGCCCTGGCTGGGCGTGCCCAGCCTGCGTTCGCCCAGCGGCTTCACGCTGGAGAATGGCCTGCTGACGGCCTCCCGGAAGCTCTGCCGCCCCGCGGTGCGGCGCGCGTTCTCCGAGGAGCTGCAGCGCCTGGTGGCGGAGCGCTCCGAGAAGCTCGCGCAGTGGCTCGCCACCTTCGGGAGCGGCGACGAGTCCAGGTCGCTGCGGGAGCTGGGGATCAGCTCGCTGCACTTCGCGCAGATCGCCGCGAGTCTCAAGGTGCCCGTCCACCTGGTTGCAGGGGCACGCAGCCTGCAGGACCTGAAGGCGCTCCAATCTTCATCCTCCCCCAGTTGATTTCTCCCCAAGATGGATGTGCATTACTAACATTGCTAACTGGAAGTGTGTCAATACATGAAAATATATTGTAAAATCCTTCAAACGTTTAAAGGGTATGTTCCTCTTGGTGTCCATCCGCAACGGAGTCAAAGCTCAGCCCCTGGCGGAGATCTTGTAGCTCTCGATGCTGATTTGGCAAACTAGTTAATCGGCTTTAGTTGACAGCAGCAACTTCAGCTTCACCATGTGACGACGATGTTCATTTTTCATTGTCGGTAAGCTGACTTGTGCGCATTGGTAGCCCTGAGGCCTTTTGCCAAGATGATCTTGGAGTAGCAGCTGCGTACCAAGATGTGCAATGCTGCGCTGAGCACTCGAAGGAGTCCAAGTTTCGTGCGCCTGCGGTTTGGAAGGCGGTTGTAGTGACGGGGGCCACTGGGCACATCGGAGCTGCCTTTGTGGAGCTGCTCGCGGCAAGGGGGGTGAAGGTCTTCCCCATCGCGCGCTCCCTGGGGCACGACATATCAAAGCCACGTTTAGGAATGGACCCGGACGCCTATGACTTGGTGCTTGATGAGGCTGATGCGGTTATACACTGCGCTGCTGTGGTGAATTGGAGTGCCCCTTACTCGGAGTTGCGGCAAACAAACGTTCTGAGCATGCTCAACATCGCGAAGTTGTGCACTGAAAAGACCACCAAGGCTGTGTTGTTCATTGGGAGTGGAGCTGCTTTTCCTGAAGAGGCGGCCTGCGTAGAGTGGCTTCAGCAATGCGTGACCCCCTACATGGTCTCAAAGATTGCGGCTGAGCTGCTGCTCCAAAAGCTGCTGCCGCACGCAGTGGTCGTTCGGCCGGGCCTGGTAGTTTGGCACTCCCAGACGGGTGCCCACAGAGCGTCGGATGCATACGCGGTCCTGGTCGAATCCATGCGAGCAAGTCACGTGGCATGGCGGGAAGATGGCTTGATGGATGGCATGAACGTCGACACCTTTTGCCGGGCAGCCTATGCCGTGTTCGAGCACGGGCTCGCTGACACATACGCGATGCATGGCTGCTACAACTTATCCGAGATCTTGCAGCGCCTTCCTGAAAGCATGGAGCGGGTTCCTTACCAAGCTTGGCGAGAGAGGATCCGGCGCATGCCGCAGCCAAGTGTTGTGACAGCTCTATTGCCCCATCTTGATGCCACGTCTCCTCCCTTTGCCGGAGACGACTTGTCAGTCAAGTGCCAGGGGGTGCTCGGTGCCGAACTGGCTCTGCAGCTTACACAGGTGGCCGGCTATGAGGCCTTTGTCAAGGCGCTGGAGAAAGGGCGCGACAGCACCTTTTCTTCCATTTCCTTCAGAACATTTGTTTATTTTCCCCTGCTGGTTTTAAGGGGAATCTATCACTACTGGAAACATGCCTACTTTTTCCAGTGGACTTCAGCAAATGGAAAAAAGAGGAGGATCCCAAACCTCACGGTTCACAAGCAGGAGGACAAACAAGCTGCTT